AGCCACGCTTTCAAATGTGACAGATAATACGGGAAACTTCTCCACATAATATATCAGTCGGGGGGGGGGGGGGGGGGGGGGGGGGCGGCGGCTCATGAACTGATCCTTGATCCCGGGTTCACATACATGTGGTGCGGCATACCACATGTGATCGGAGCCGTACCGCATTCCTGCGCCAATCACATGCAAATTCTGTGCGGTGCGATCGGAACTTTCTGTACGGCTCAAATCGCACCAAAAAGGTGCAGGACCCGCACTAGAATCGGATCACATGGGTGTTCACACCCAGTGGAGTCCCGAGGCAGCTCCGGGGTGTGTGGCCGGCACTGAGTGACACCGACCGCACAGGGTGACACCGGACCCGCTTCACGAAAAGGTAAGTTGTAAAGAAAGCCGACGGTCCCCTCAGGATGGATCGGATCTGCGGATTGGGGAGGGATCGGAGTCCGATCCATTATGCTGAATCCGCAGATCCCATCCATCCTGCGGGGACCATCGGAGGGGGTGTCACCAAGTGTTACCGCACCGGGTGACACCAACCCTAGGGACGCCCCTGCCCCAGGTTCACACCTGAGCGTCTTCCGCAGCATTTTGCAGAAACACAGTACAGTCCATATAACATGATTTCCTATGGGACGGGTTCACATTGCCACGTTTTCACCCGCTGCGTTTTTTGGACAGGGTCAGGGACATTTTTGAACGCAAAAAGTTTTGGGTGTTTTGGGTTCTATAGACGTCAATGGAAATGCTGCAGAAAAGCATGCATTGCGTTTTTTATGCGTTTTTGCATCATTTTTAATGCGTTTTTGCATCATTTTTTTGTATTTTTGCAGCATTTTTTATGTGTTTTTGCAGCAATTTTTTATGTGTTTTTGCATAATTTTTTATGTGTGTTTTGCCGCGTTTTTGATGCAGTTAGTTTTTCATTTTTTTTTCTTGTTGCTAGGCAGATTTTAAATGCAAAACATAAAAAATGCTGCAAAAAAACACAAAAAATTCTGCAAAAACACATACAAAATGCTGCAAAAACACATAAAAAAAGCATTTTTTTTGTGTTTTTGCAGCATTTTTTATGTTTTGCATTTAAAATCTGCCTAGCAACAAGAAAAAAAAATGAAAAAATAACTGCATCAAAAACGCGGCAAAAACGCAAGTGCAAAAAATACAAAACGCAATGCAGAAAGCATCAAACGCAGCCTGCACAGGTGTGTCTCTAGACTCAGGTGGGGGTTTTTTCCCCCATTCCTAGCCGCTGAAGTTGGAGAGAATGAAAGCCAAGTACATAGTGCTGGTAATGGGGGGGGCGATAAAATGAACCTGCGTTCCCTGCGTGTTAAAAAGACTCGGTTCACTTCCAGGCGGAGAGGAACAAACTTTGAAAAATGTTTTCCTTTAAATAATACAATGTAGCCGTCTATTAATGTAGATGAAATCCTGGAGCGCGTGTTTTTGGCGATTTGCGGAGGGTCACCGCGCGGCGTCCAGGTGGATTTGCACTCATGATGGCCCTCCGTGTGTGGCCCCGTATCAGGACATTTCCCTGTAGCCGGTCGCCTTTTATTGCAGTGACTGTATCGCAGAAATATTTGTGCAGTAAACAATTCTCATTTATCCCCCCCCCCCCCCCACTTCGCTCGCTCCAACAGCTGGTGACATCTGTAACTCCGGATAAACACCGCACAGCGCGCCTGTCGGCTCCCAGACACACCCGCCGTCCATTACACGGGGCCGGCTCCGGTCAGGATGAGAGCCCTCCGGGGCCCGGCAATGGCCGACACCTCTCCGAAGAAGGAGCTCAGCGATCGGAGACACCATATATAACCAGATTGCCGTTTGTCTCTCTAGAAAAGGATTCTGTCGCCAATTACGGACTGGCACGAGGTGGCATCAAAACATTTCCAGACTAGTTCTGTAACACAACCAACAGATGGCGGCGCAAGCCTGCACGCACAGTCACAGGGAGCACAGAGCTTGGTAAGTCTGTGTGCCAAAAGACATCGTCCTGTGTATATCGGGAGCTGTGCAACTGGTGCTATTCTGACCACACGCTATTTCATCGTGGACAGCAAGTTAGGACAAAGAGCAAAACGTGAAATTCCACATTTATTATTCATTTTGGGCTCTACAGATCCCAGGCGCCAGGTCACCATGGTGAATAGAAATTGCGTCCTGGCACCTGGGTTCGCTCACTTCCTCCCATTGACTTCAATGCAACATTAACTTCAATGTAAAAACGGCTCCCGTTGACTTCAATGCAAAAACACCTCCCCTTAACTTCAACGGAAATAAGCCTCCCATTAACTTCAATGGAAAAACGTCGCCCACTGACTTCAATGGAAAAACGCCTCCCCTTGTCTTCAATGGAGAAAAGTCTCTCGTTGACTTCAATGTAAAAAAGCCTCCCATTGACATCAATGCAAAAAACGCCACCTGCTAACATCAATGCAAAAACGCCTCCCGTTGACTTCAATGGAAAAAAGCCTCCCGTTGACTTCAATGGAAAAAAACCTCCCATTGCAATCAATGCAAAAACGCCTCCCGTTGACTTCAGTGGAAAAAAGCATCCCGTTGAGTTCAATGGAAAAATGCCGCCACCTGCTGACTTCAATGGCAAAAACGCCTCCCGTTGACTTCAATGGAAAAACGCCTCCCGTTGACTTCAATGGAAAAAACGCCTCCCGTTGACTTCAATGGAAAAACGCCTCCCGTTGACTTCAATGGAAAAACGCCTCCCGTTGACTTCAATGGAAAAACGCCTCCCGTTGACTTCAATGGAAAAACACCTCCCGTTGAGTTCAGTGGAAAAACGCCTCCCGCTGACTTCAAAGGAAAAACACTGCCCCTTATCTTCAATGGAGAAAAGCCTCTTGTTGACTTCAATGTAAAAACGCCTCCCGTTGATTTAATTGAAAAAACGCCTCCCGTTGACTTCAATGGAAAAATAATTCCCGATGACTTCAATGGAAAAACGCCTCCCGTTGACTTCAATGCAAAAGCTCCTGTCAATAGCAATCCTATATGAACACTTATCTCCTCATGCCACTCTGCTCTGTCCTTGGCGAGTCCGGAACGCACCGCACAGGACCCTTCCTAACGGCACTCAAAACGCGACGCGCGTGGATCTGATCTGCGGGAACCAGCTCAGTAGGAACACATAATATCCAGCCTGACACGCGAATCTGAGAGTTGGAAAACGCATCCAGAATCTCCCATGTGTAAAGCAGGGGGGGCTCCATTCACACCCGGGCGTTCTGAGAGAGCGGCAGGATTGCTGTGATCGCAAAATGCGGGTTCAGGTGCCATTATTTTTCAATGCCGCTTGAAACGTGGCGATTGTCCTGCAGCATCATGGGAAACTCATCGGCCAAAAGGTGCCTTGCCCCGGGGGGCTCTGACAACCCTGGAATAAAAACCTGCTCCTGACTTTGTTAGCTGGCTCCCAGATCCAAAGCAGATTTTTTGAAGCCCTGCCTTACATAAAGAGAACCGGTCACCACTGAGCCTGTATTGTGCTGGTGACCTTCACCCCTGTTCTTCTCTACCTCCCGAATGATGAAGGCAAACCCTCCTAATTGCCGATTGGACGATCCATGACAAATCAACAACCACATGATGACGCATGTGGATCCGCAAACAAGCAAAAAAGGACCCCGCCCCTTTAAATGGCGTATTCCTCAGAAGGCCGAGCTGAGCCCCTAATACTCCATCATGGGACAGTACAGACTAAACACACTTGACGTTCACCCTGCTCTGCCATTGGCTGCTGCTCCGGGGGTCCGGGGGTCACCCTTCAAATTCCTCTCGCTAGACACTTTAGCAAAACATCTGGTGCGGATTTTTGAGAGGTCCCGGGGCGGCTCATATTTTCAGAGTCACCTTCCCCTCATCATCAATCATGATTAGCCCAGGGGTCCGGTGGGCCCAGAGATTAGGCCAGAGGTGGGGAAATAGCGTCTGCAGGGACCCGGGGCAGGGTCACAAGGTGTTCCCAAATCCCCCACAATTCATTTCACTGGTAGCAAGTGTAAAGAGAGTGTTCACGAGGTTCCCCTGCGCTCCCCCCCCTCCCGGATCACAACAGAGGGGCCCCCGTGGGTCAATTGCAAGATGGGAACTAGAGTCGCCTTAAAGAAGAACCCCAGCCACGCAACAAAAAGTCGATTCTGACACCAAGTTTTTCCTGCCCTCTGTGGCCCCGCCTGGCAAATTTTTTTGGCCCCGTATGCCAGATGCGCTCTCACTTACTGACACCAAGCCGGCCGGTAAGTGGAAATCTTTAAAGGGGCACCTTCCAGGCCAGATGCAAGGTCCACTTTTTTTGCCCACCCAACCAGGGGCGGACTGACAACTCATGGGGCCCCTGGGCAATAGGGGATCATGGAGCCCCTATTTCCTTGCCCACACTCAAAGCACACCCAAAAAAGCCTATAAAAAAGGTACCAGGGGCATTTCATGGAGCCCCCTACTGACCCCGGGCCCTTAGGCAGTGCTTGAGTGCTCAAATGGTCAGTCCCCCCCAGCACCCAACACAAGTAGACAAGCCATTGGTCCTCCAAAAAACGTGCTTTTTCAGGTCCTGACTTCCAAAGCTTCTGGGCACGGGTGAAGTCCCCAGTGGACGTCAAAAAAAGAATGCACTTTTCCAATGAGTTGGACCCTAGTGGGATTTCGAGCCCCTAGCTCCGGCCAAGAGGCACGGTGACGCTAGCCATGGTGGGGCCCACAGCGTTGGAGGCCGAGGCCAATGGTTTATTTACAGAGGGCCTTTTAGCCCTTTTCCGATGGCTACTGCTGCCCTTTTAAGAGGGTGTATGTACCAGAGGCATTTTCGGGGCTTCCTGCTCATGTGATGACTGTGATTGGCTGACACAGTGGTCACGTGATTGGGAGCTCATCCTACCAGCTCTTGACTGGGAACGGTCATCAGCAACTCGCTGAAGGCCCACGATTGAAGGCCAAAAAAAAAAAAGGAACACCAGCCATACCCATGTCTGTGGCAGGACAGAATGAAGCCCACCGTCACACTGCCACATATGTGCATGCCACCGGTTTAAAGCCATGTTGGGGGGGTAGCAGGGGCGGACTGACAACTTATGGGGCCCCCCGGGCAATAAGGGATCATGGGGCCCGTCTCCTCACCCACACTCAAAGCACATCCAAAAAACCCTATAAAAGGTACCAGGGGCATTTCATGGGGCCCCCTACTGACCCGGCCCTCGGGCAGTGCCCGAGTGCTCGAATGGTCAGTCAGCCCCTGGGGGATAGACGGCTAGCAGCGGACCTTCTGTATAAGTGTATATCAAAGTAGTTGCAAACTCTTACATATACCCAGCGCAGTGACTGGCCTCCGGTGATACACAGAGATAAAACAAAAGCCATGGAACAGATAAAAAGGTACAACTTAGTAGATAAGCTGTACCTTTTTATCTGCAACCCTTTCTTCTCTACATGCATTCAAAGTGCTAAATTTAAAAAGCTTGTTTGAGAGTTCATAAAGAAGGGGGCAGAAAGCTGAAATTACCTACAACAGAGTAGAGCTTTGAGAGGTGATTGGACAGAAGACACCTCCCCCCCCTCCACACAGGAACAGAGCTACTGGAGGTCCCTCCCCGTCACCATTTTTCTCTTGGTGTCAGGAAAACTTGTCAAAAGTGAATCATGGTGATAGCAGAAGAAGGAAGCAGCAGACAGAAAATGACCCTTAGTGCTCTGGACTGAGACTAGTAAACACTATAGAGGGATGTGCTTTCTTCATATTTCATGTCTGAGGTTGACAACCCTCTTCTAGTCCATTGAGGGACACGGATCCCACCACTGTGTAGGACCGCGAGCCTCATCGTCTAGATCTCAATCAATGGATTTCTAATACACCACAATGAAAAAAGTGGCCCTGTTTTCATTGGTTGAGATTCCCAGAATCCTTTGCTCTAAACCAGGGGTGTCAAACTGGCGGCCCTCCAGCTACAAGTCCCATTAAGCCTCTGCGTTTGGGAGTCATGCTTGCAACTATCAGTCTTGCAATGCCTCATGGGACTTGTAGTTTGGTAACAGCAGAAGGGCCACCAATTTGACACCCGTGCTCTAAAACCAAGGAGGTAGAAGAAGCTGGTGGGCTATTCATCATGACATCAACTGCAATGATACGATTTTTGTACTCGCCGTAAAACCTCTATAATATCCAATCCATTCAGGGACACAGAAATTCAGGTTACACTGCCGTCTTCAGGAGGCTAGGACAATGGCCAACAGCAACATTTAGGTCAACCCCTTATCACCTGTCCTCTACTGAGCATGCCTCAGTTTTGTAAGACCTCAATACACAGGACCAGCAAAAACACAGTGGTGGGACCTGTGAACTCGAAGAAAAATATTTTATGGTAAAACACAAAAATCCTATTTTGTCCATTGAAGGAAACAGGAATTCATAAGGAGTTGGGAGAGTCAAAACGAGAGGTGGGCAACAACCATCGACAGACCGAAGGTATCGGGATCCATCTGAAAGACCAACACTTGAATCTGAGAGGAGAAAGGAGAACCCTACCAGGACAGGGTAACTGTCACAAAGTTGGACTTTGGACGACTTTTCTTCAGCTCTGCTGACAAAGTCCAACTTTATGACGGTTACCCTGTCCTGCTAGGGTTCTCCTTTCTCCTCTCAGATTCAAGTGTTGGTCCTTCAGATGGTTCCCGATACCTGCTAGTGTCCTAGGACAGGGGTCTCCAAACTATGGCCCTCTAGCTGTTGAAGTACTACAAATCCCATCATGCCTCTGCCTCTGGGAGTCTTGCCTGTGCCTTATCAGAGTCTTGCAAGGCATCATGGGACTTGCAGTTCCTCCACATCTGGAGGGTCATAGTTTGGAGACCCCATGTCCTAGGAGATTGGACGACTTTTCTTCAGCTCTGCTGACAATCTCCTAGGACATGGGGACTCCAAACTATGACCCTCCAGGTGTGGAGTAACTGCAAGTCCCATGAGGCCCTGCAAGACTCTGATAGGCACAGGCAAGACTCCCAGAGGCAGAGGCATGATGGGATTTGTAGTACTTCCAACAGCTAGAGGGCCATAGTTTGGAGACCCCTGTCCTAGGACACTAGCAGGTATCGGGAACCATCTGAAGGACCAACACGTGAATCTGAGAGGAGAAAGAAGAACCCTACTAGGACAGGGTAAATGTCACAAAGTTGGACTTTGTCAGCAGAGCTGAAGAAAAGTCGTCCAATCTCCTAGGACATGGGGTCTCCAAACCAGGGGCGGACTGACAACTTATGGGGCCCCCGGGCAATAGGGGATCATGGGGCCCCTGTGTCCTTGCCCAAACTCAAAAAAGCCTATGAAAAAGGTACCAGGGGCATCTCATGGGGCCCCCTACTGACCCCGGGCCCTCGGGCAGTGCCGAGTTTCCAAATGGTCAGTCCTATGGCCCTCCAGGTGTGGAGGAACTGCAAGTCCTATGAGGCTTTGCAAGACTCTGAGAGCCACAGGCAAGACTCCCAGAGGCAGAGGCATGATGGGACTTCAACAGCTAGAGGGCCATAGTTTGGAGACCCCTATCCTAGGACACTAGCAAAAACCTCAGGCATGCTGGGTAGAGGAAGGATTATACAAAGGCTAACTACTGCCAGTATCCAAACCTCCAGTAGAAGGCAGTATAACCCGACTGTTTCAAAATTCCCTTGTCCCTCATTGGACGATAGAGAAACCAGTTTAGGGTGAACGTACCCTTACCCCCCTCAAAACCCCTCCCTGTCTTGCCTCTTACAACCTGTCTTGGTTATTGGTTCTTGGTCATGTGATCCAGTAAACTCTTTTTGCGTCTTTTGTGGTATTAAAGAGACTGATTTATTTCGCAAAGAAAAACGAATTTTGCCAAAAACAAACCAAAAAAAAAAAAAAAACATTTTGTGAGTTTTGACAAAAACAACAAATATTAAAAAAAAAAACAAAACCAAAAATCAACCTTATAAAAATAATCATCTAGTGCGTTCTCTAGATTGTTCGCTCCTCCGCGAGGTCGGCGTTCAGGTAACTCCTCGCCGAAACATCGGATGAGACAAAGAGCGACCACGCCATCTACAGCCAGACGCCACAGTTAAAATTAGAATCCAAGTGAATCCATTTTGTCCACCCCCCTCCCCCACAACCAGGATGTTTTTGAAGACCGCGAGCCTCATCGTCCAGGTCTCAATACACTTTCATTGGTTAGGATTGCATTTTCCCAGAATCCTTTGCTCTAAACCAAGAGTCTCCTTGGTTCTACCAGTGGAGCATTTTTTGAGCTCCAAGCAGAACTGAACCAACAATAAGGGGGATAGCAACATTCCAGAAGGATCTAGAGATGGCAGGTAGAATGGCTATGTAAAAAAAAAAAAAGCCGCTCATGGTCAGTGACACCACGCTGAGTTGAGTGACACCGTGAAGTTGACCTTTGCGGCCTTCCATGAACTCCCATGTCAGACAAGCAGGCAAACCCCCAATTGTTGGGTATTGAAAAGGAGCCGCGTGGTGCGGCTGAACGTATTTTTTGGTTGTGGAATGGTAGAGGTTAAAAATTCTGACCGCAAATGAAAACGGAGGACTTGTATCCGTGTGATCCGAGGCTTGAAAATGGCCGCCGTGAATGCCTTCTCCTTAATGACACCCGCAGGTCCTCACTACCATGTTCCTGTATTTCTTGAGGATGACGTTGGAACTGTCGTCGAAGTAAAGGACGGAGATGGCTGTGAGCTGAGTGGGGGCGCAGCAAGGCTTCGGGACCGTGTCCGGGTTGATAAAATGTACCTGACAGGGAGAAATAATAAAGTTTCAACAAGAAAGTTCAGTTATGCGGAAAGAAGTCCAAAAACTATAATAGAAAGCAGGGGCGGACTGACAACTTATAGGGCCCCTGTGCAATAGGGGATCATGGGGCCCCCGGGCAATAGGGGATCATGGGGACCCCGGGAAATAGGGGATCATGGGGCCCGTGTCCTCGCCCACACTCAAACCACACCCAAAAAGCCTATGAAAGGTACCAGGGGCATCTCATGGGGCCCCCTGCTGACCCCGGGCCCTCAAGCAATGCCCGAGTGCCCGAATGGTCAGTCCGCCCGATAGGAAGATGCACGTTGGGCATAGAAAAAAAAAAAAATGTATTATTCCGGGACTGCTTAGGACAATTCAGCTGGCTCATCTCTCTAACGCACGGGTGTCAAATTGGCGGCCCTCCAGCTGTTGCCAAACTACAAGTCCCATGAGGCATTGCAAGATTGACAGTTACAAGCATGACTCCCAAACGCAGAGGCATGATGGGACTTGTAGTTTTGCAGCAGCTGGAAGGCCGCCAGTTTGGCACCCCTACAGGGGCATACTGACAACTCATGGGGCCCCTGAATAATAGGGGATCATGGGGCCCCTATGTCCTCGCCCACTCCTAAAAAAGCCTATGAAAGGTACCAGGGGCATCACATGGGGCCTCCTACTGACCCCGGGCCCTCAGGTAGTGCCCGAGTGTCCGAATGGTCAGTTCGCCCCTGCAACCCTAATTTTTTGCTATTTTTTCTCACGAAAGTGGAGTTACCCTTTAAGATAGGGGACTTGACGACCACTTCAGGTCTCCTTTTCAGTGCTGTGGTGAGTGGCGGAGCTGTGTAAATCTCAGGACTGTATGAAGAGAAATACAAATCCTTTGGCAGGTAAAAATAGCTGCCTAAGATTTATTTCATCTATCCGTGAGTCAGCAGGGAACTATGTACTGTGGAAGGCTATGTACAGTGAAGAGCCCTTTGCTTAAAAAAAAAAAAAAAAAAAAAAAGATCCCGAATTATGAAGTGGGCAATATCCTCCACTGACATACCCCCAGCAGCCCAGATTGATCTTACCAGTGTCTGAACGATGGCGTGGTTTGTTGCGTTCATGTAGGAATTGAGCGGGAAAGCGCATTCACCTTCACAGTAATAAGCAGCGTAACCTTCCGGAGCAATAATCCAATCCTGCGGAGGGAGAGAGATGATAAACGGGCATATATAGACCTGGCAAGACCCCCAGAGATAAATGTCACAACTCGATGGAACAACTTCCTTCAATAAATCCAACCAGCGAGTGAAAAAAAGAACGGACCCGAGTTGGATGGGGGAATCCTGCCTGCTATGTCTTTGCATTTTGACAGTGGGGAGACTTCCCCGTCATCAGAATACACAGATCAGCTATAGGGTCTTTTGTGAAGAAAGTGACGAAACGCGTCAAGGAAGTGACGTCGGACGTAGACATACAACCGGAAGTGGCGGGGCGGCCATCTTGACTGAGGTTTTTCATTCAGAAAATAAGATTTTACAGAGGATTAAAATTCTTTTACTATAAAGAAAGATCAGAAAGTTTTTCTATATACAGTAATATCTCAGTTTACGAATGCCTCTGTTAACGTGATTTTCGGTTTACGAATGAAAATCCATTGAAAATAATGCCTCGGTTTACACATTTTTTACAAATTTTTTTCACAATATGAAGTGTATGTCAGTGCTGATTTTTAAATGCAACTGCCATCTTTTTTTTTTCTTCACTATAGCTCACAACATTAGCTGTCACTTTCCCTAGAGCTAAAGGATACTTTGTATCTTTTAAGAAACTGAAAGTAAACATTGTTTCTTTTAACTTGGGGAAATAAACTAAAAAAACCTTTTCTCTTTTAACTGGAGGGGGAAAGTGACAGCTGAATTTCTGAGCTACTGTATAGTGAAGAAAAAACAAAACAGTAATTACATTTAAAAACTGGCACCTGACAGCTGAGTGTAAAAGAATTTCCGGCAATTAGAAAAAAAATTTTTTAATTGCCAGCAATTCTTTTACACTCACCTGTCAGTGGGGAACCCCGCTGACAGCTGAAACATTAACACATGGTTGTCACTACTAAAATATTGCATGAGTTAATAAAACAACTCATGCGGTATTTTGGTAGCGTTTACGGTTTTTCTGACCTTAGGAACGGATTAATAGGTTTTTAATGCATTCCTATGGGAAACAGGGTTTCAGTTTACAAATTTTTCACTATACGAAATGTCCTGCAGAACGGATTAAATTCTTAAACCGATGTATTACTGTAATTTTATTGTAAGCATAACTTTATTAAATATATCCCTTTGAATATGATATACTACACCATAAAGATTCTGTTTTGACCCTTAATATGCTACCACATGGACAGTGAGCCGAGCAGGGAAGGTCGGATGAGGAGAGCTTTTTCATGCTTATTAAAGTGTTTTATCTGGTAAGCTGCATGGTGCGAAAGATGACGGGGAATGGATCGCACATTTTACACGTGTACACGTGTACGGAAAAAAAAAAAAAACGGTAATTACATTTAAAAACTGGCACCTGACAGCTGAGTGTAAAAGAATTGCCGGCAATTCTTTGGCAACATTTTGGCAACATTTTTTTTTTTTGTATCCAAAGGATATTGCACTATTATTGTTTTTTCTTTGAGGAAATATTGAAGAAAAAAAAGACGGAGTGGAACACGGTTTTGGAGTATATGATATTGAGAGCTTTAACCCCCTGGCGGTATTCCCGAGTGTAGCTCGGGGTTAACTTTCAGTACCAGAAGCGGTAATCCCCTCGGGAATATCCTGCAGCGTTGCTCTGGGATTCCTGGTGTCAGGGATCGGGGTGTGACCAGAAATGTGTGGACTGACACAGGGAAGTAGCAGGCTTCAGGAACACAGGCGTAGTCAGGGCTGGAGAGGTGGAATGGTCAGGCGGGCCGTAAGGTACTGTCAGGCACTGCCCGGCGGGATCTCTAGTGACCCACAGACCAGGATTCCCCAGGGCGCGGAGTCTAAGCCCCAGTCTGCCTTTTCACCAGAGCCCCTGATGGTGGGGATGGACTTGGCGCTGGACTGAGACCAGGTCGCGGCCCCTGAGTGCACCCAACTGTGGTAGAGGGGTACGCCGAGGGTATGTACCGGGGGAAAGCCTGATGTGAAGGGGCTGGCAGGTTTGGACAGTAGTGACTGGATCCGTGCAGGATGGATGGATCATCTGGGTAGCATCAGGCGTAGTCAGGCAGGCCAGGTCAGCAACATGCGGGCAGTGAGGTACCGGAGGAGCAGGCAAAGAATAGTCAGGGTCACAAGCCGGGTTCAGTAACTCACGGGCAGCACGGTACAGAGGATCAGGCAGAAGGATGGTCAGGCAAGCCAGGGGTTCAACAGGAGATGGTCAGCAGAAGTCAGGATCAAAGCAGGGTCAGCAACTAGGCAGATAGGCAGGAACACAGGATACCAGGTACAGGGGCTCATGGGAAACATACACCAAGGCACTGACTGCAGGTCTGGCCATTCCTTAAATACACCTCCTGCAATCAGCCCCAGGTGTTGGCTGATTGCAGGAGTGAGCTTCTGGCTGCTGAGAGCACCCGCTGGTCAGCCCTGGTACTGCAGCCCACACGTCAGGTGAGTCCCACCACCAGTGCTGAGTCCATTCCTGACACCTGGATCACTTACCTTGTCTTGCGCTCCAGCGATATCCCCCCTGCAGCGTCCCCAGCCATATCCTCCGGCCGATGCCGGCATCCGTACGGGGGACAGAACCAGCGGGAATTTCAAAAATGTAAAAAATTTGACATTCACTGAATACACTAACATCTGATAGTATTCCATTACTGTGTCAAACCATTTCACATACATTTTGTCCCGAGTGCTTTGTGCGGCGCCCTGCCTGCATTTTTACCGCCCTTTCTGTCTGGAAACTGAGAAACATCCATGGCGTCCAAAAAGCGTCTCTTTAGGTCAAAATCGGTTTTAGACCGGCTAGAGAACAACGATAGTAAATTAGAACCACTTGCAGAATTGAGTGATAATGATTGGTGGGGGAAATTCGTCATCAGACACTGAAAACGATTCTGCGACTTTGCTCAGTGATGTGCGAACTTGGCGCTCTATTTCACATTTCAGTGTTTTTGGTTTGTTTACATTTATTATTTTTTATGATTATTTATTATATTATAATTTATGATTTCGTGTTTCAAATTTTATCACACCCGGGATGTTTGCTAGACTCTTGTTCAGACAGATTTCAGGGAGTTATTCCTAAGAATTACAGGCCTACAATAGGAAAACAACATATTTCCATGCAAAAAAATGTACCGCTTTGAGCACAGAAATACTGACATAATCAGACCGCTAGGGAGGTTAAACAAGTTTTGATAGGGGAAGGGTGTTAAGTACAGCCATTTAGATGTGGACACTGAGTGGGGTGTCACGTTAGTAACCACAGGGTGATTATATATTTTTTTTCATATTTGTGTGGGGTAATGCACTATATTGAGTTTTCTTTTTTTTTTGAGGATTTCACGGAGTAAAAGAATATCTTCACGAAGGTGAATTAAATCTGAGAGCACAAATATTGAAAAGTTTTTGAGTTTTCTTATTATATATTCTTTATAATCTGTTGAACTGAAAAAGACGAGCAGTTTGAAAGATCCCCGCGCAGGTTAACGATCGAGGTGTATGTGGCCTGTGTTAGCTCTGCGCAAGTGGCGAATCGCTGTGACACCGCCGCCGGCGTGGTCTCACCTGCCATCCCAGGTCTCGGAAGCTGACGTACAGTTCGTGTTTCTTACAGGCTTGCTTCTGGTCTGTGCTACTGTTTTCTGTAATGACACATGGAGATCATGTTAAAGGGGCCCTCCGCTTCACCCAGACATGATCCTAATCTCCAGCCTCCTGAGAATCAAAGCTGTACTTAGAGCAAACATATAAAAACAAGATTCTTGAGAGCTTTTTTTCATTTTATAATTGTATCCTATTTGCAGCCTGCCTAGTGACCTGACTTTTCTCTGCTGCGGATAAGTAACAGAGCTAGGTCGCTTCCCCACCCCCATCCTGTGATTGGACAGCGAAGGAACAGCAGAAGACTGATGAAATCATCCCTCTGTCAGCACATTCTTTCCCAGCACAGTGCACCTTCATCTGGCCAAAGACAGGAAACTGTCCCCGAGAATGAGAGGCATTTAGATTTCGGCTTTGAGCCGGGTCACTTCCCCACCTCCATCCTGCGATTGGACATCAAAGGAACAGCAGAAGACTGATGAAATCATCCCTCTGTCAGCATGTTCTTTCCCAGCACAGCGCACCTTCATCTGGCCAAAGACAGGAAACTACTGTCCCCCTGAGAATGAGAAGCATTTAGATTTTGACTTTGAGCCGTGTCACTTTCCCACCCCCATCCTGGGATTGGACATCGAAGGAACAGCAGAAGACTGATGAAATCATCCCTCTGTCAGCATGTTCTTTCTCAGCACAGCGCACCTTCATCAGGCCAAAGCCAGGAAACTATCCCCCTGAGAATGAGAGGTGTTTAGATTTCGGCTTCGAGCCGGGTCACTCCCCCACCCCTATCCTGCGATTGGAAAGTGAAGGAACAGCAGAAGACTGATGAAATCATCCTGTTCCTTCCCAGCCTACAGGAACTCATAAGACCCTCCCTCTTCACTATGGAGGTCTGATGTATAAAAGATTACATTGGTCTGATATCAGGGCAGTCTACCTGGATTGTAGCAACTTTGCATACACATTCATTTTTGAATCTGCCCTGATATCAGACCAATGTAATCTTTTATACATCAGACCTCCATAGTGAAGAGGGAGGGTCTTATGAGTTCCTGTAGGCTGGGAAGGAACAGGATGATTTCATCAGTCTTCTGCTGTTCCTTCACTTTCCAATCGCAGGATAGGGGTGGGGGAGTGACCCGGCTCGAAGCCGAAATCTAAACACCTCTCATTCTCAGGGGGATAGATTCCTGGCTTTGGCCTGATGAAGGTGCGCTGCGCTGGGAAAGAACATGCTGACAGAGGGATGATTTCATCAGTCTTCTGCTGTTCCTTTGATGTCCAATCGCAGGATGGAGGTGGGGAAGTGACCCGGCTCAAAGCCGAAATCTAAATGCCTCTCATTCTCGGGGACAGTTTCCTGTCTTTGGCCAGATGAAGGTGCACTGTGCTGGGAAAGAATGTGCTGACAGAGGGATGATTTCATCAGTCTTCTGCTGTTCTTTCGATGTCCAATTGCAGGATGGGGGTGGGGAAGTGACCCGGCTCAAAGCCAAAATCTAAATGCCTCTCATTCTCAGGGGGATAGTTTCCTGGCTTTGGCCTGATGAAGGTGCGCTGTGCTGGGAAAGAACATGCTGACAGAGGGATGATTTCATCAGTCTTCTGCTGTTCCTTCACTGTCCAATCACAGACTGGGGGTGGGGAAGTGACCCGGCTCAAAGCCAAAATCTAAATGCTTCTCATTCTCAGGGGGGCAGTTTCCTGTCTTTGGCCAGATGAAAGTGCGCTGTGCTGGGAAAGAACATGCTGACAGAGGGATGATTTCATCAGTCTTCTGCTGTTCCTTCACTTTCCAATCGCAGGATGGGGGGGGGGTGGGGAAGTGACCCGGCTCAAAGCCAAAATCTGAATGCCTCTCATTCTCAGGGGGACAGTTTCCTGTCTTTTGCCTGATGAAGGTGCGGTGTCTTAAAAGGTGCAGTGTCAGGTATTCATGGTATCACTCACTGTAACCAAGCCTCCCCTCTATGGTGATGAGTGGGTAGATTAAGACGAAACACCCAAAACTCCAAGGTGAAGATAGCCTGGCAATAGACCGCAGAGGTCTAAATGGAGGGCCTGTTATTACGACCATGGTTCTCACCTGCGATATTGGACACTCTCAGGGCCTCCTGGTTTTTCGGGGCTTTGGACCTGTTTTGGTTGCGCTGCTTCCCCCCAGTGGACCGTATGCTGCGCAGGTGGATCTCCGTGGCCTTGAAGAATGCCACCATGAAGGGCTGCTTGTTGTGCGGTCCATTCGTCCCAATTAGGCCCGCCATCTTGGGGTTGATGCTCTGCCCTGTCAGAAAAATGGTATATATATATATAATCAGGGCACAGACATGATCTGCAGAAGTCTTTACAGCGAGATGCTATCTGGACAGCTTGGGAATCTCGTATCGTGAAACAGCTGACCACACAGAAGGTCCATTCGTCCCAATTAGACCCGCCATCTTGGGGTTGATGTTCTGCCCTGTCAGAAAAATGGTATATATATATATATATATATATAATCAGGGCACAGACATGATCTGCGGGAGTCTTTACAGCAAGATGCCATCTGGACAGCTTGGGAATCTTGTATCGTGAAACAGCTGACCACACAGAAGGTACAATCTGGTTGCACAATCTTCTTTGCGTTCAGCCTATCCAAGGAATGCATATAAGCTCACATTGTAAATCGCTGCGCAAACTGTTGGCGCTATATCAATCCTGTATAATAATAATTATCTCTATCCACACTGGCCCATGCAATACATAGTGGCTGGTAAATGTAAAGACGTCACAATCAGGTTGTAATGTGTATGGCCAGCTTCATTTTCTTTACTTTGGTGTCACATAAAGGTCCATTTCTCTGAATTGAATGGGAGTGTATGTGGCCAATTTGCAAACAGAGCTATTCCTTGACCACCTCAAAACTGCCGTATTGTAGAAAAATGGCGAACAGCTGGATGCTATTTTCTGACGTGCCGTTTATGGCCAGTGATGTCATTGGACATGGTGGTGGTGGTAATGGTGGTGGTGGTAGTGGTAATGGTGGTAGTAGAGGTAATGGTGGTTGGTGGTAGGTGGGTGGTGGTGGTGGGTGGTTGGTGTGTGGTAGTGGTTTAATGGTGGTAGTAGGTTTTGGGGGGGTAATGGTGGGTGGTTTGGTAATGGTGGGGGTGGTAGTGTTGGTGGTGGTGGGGGGTTGGTAGTGGTAATGGTGGTAGTAGAGGTATGTGTGTTTTTGGTGGTTGGTTTTGGTGGGTGTTTGGTAGGGGGTTGTTTGGTGGTGGTGTGGGGTGGTGTGGGTGGTGTAGTTTTGGGTGTTGTTGTGGGGGGTGGTGGTGTAGGGTGTGGTTGGTGGTTTTTTTGTTGTTGGGTGTGGTAGTGGTAGTGGTATTGGTGGTGGTGTAGGGGGGTGGTGGTGGTGTTGGTGGTGGTGGGTTGTTTGGCAGCAGGTGGTTTAGTGGTAAGGGTAGGGGTAGTAGAGGGGGGTAATGGTTGGTGTTGTTGGTAAAGGTTGGGTGGTGGGTGGGATGGGGGGGGTGGGTAATGGTGGGGTAAGGGAGGTTTTGGTGGTGGTAATGGTGGGTTGGGGTGTGGTGGGTGGTGGTGGGTTTTTAGGGGGTTAGGGTAGTAGGGGTTTGGTGTAATTGGTTTTTGGTGGGTTATTGTGCATGGTATTGGTTTTAGTTTTGGGTGGGGGGGGGTTTTTTTGGTTGGGTTGGTTTTTGGTTGGGTTGGTGTTGGTAATAGTGGTGGTGGTGGTGGTGGTAGAGGTCATGGTGGTGGTGGTGGTGGAGATAATGGCAGGGGTGGTAGTGGTAATGGTGGTAGTAGAGGTAATGGTGGTGGTAGTGGTAAGGGTGGTGGTGGTGGTGTTGGTAGTGGTAATGGTGTTGGTGGTAGTGGTAATCATGGGTGGTGGTGGTGGTAGTAGTGGTATGGTGTGGAGAAATCATGTGACCAAATGCCTAGGCTTTAGTCGTGTGGCCAGCCCTAGAGGAAACTTGAAGAAACAAATTATTTTACCCCTTTTAGTTTGTGGAAATGGCCGCTGGTAGTCTCCACCACGGACACATGTGACAAGGTGACAAAGCAGGTCCACAATTTGGAGAACGTTGTCACACCATAAGAGCGCATGTCTAAACAAGGACTTTCATGGCAGGATCACCAGGGATTACATCAATGAAAGCTGCAGATTTTAAAATAATGAAAACAACTTTTAAAATGATATTAACATATCACCTAATATAAATCCTCTGCCCTTTCCCATAGTGTAGGGTTAGAGAGAGTTCACCAGAACAAATCTTACCAGTAAACACTATTAAAAACTAAAAGTATGCACGTACGGGGTGAACTGATTTCTCAGGAGGAGCATAAACCCCAGCCTCAGGTGATCCAGACCTCGCGGCAAGCAAGCCCTGCCTGTAAACCACATGGCGAGATTGAAGTAGATAGGTGGATGAGGAATGCGGAGAACGCGCCCGTGCAGAGCGGCTGCAATCAATATATCAAACCGGACGCGGACGTCATTTTATAATTGAATATTCTCAGTAGAAGAGATATTTCAGGTCAGATCTCAACCACAAGAGCATTCTCACAAACAAGCACAGAAAACCCTCCAACTTATGTTGTGCTCCTCTTAAACTTCCCTCCCTCAGGAGCTTAAAGCTGAACTCCGCTCTACATAAAAAGTAGAGCCCAACACACTGCAGCATACTACAACCCATACACCAAGCGTTGTGGCGCGCTGCATTCTTAAAAATGGATCATGTCTGTTTTTTTTCATCCATTGTGGTGCATTGGCAATAAATGGGCTGCCCCTTGTCAAGACGCACATGAACGAGTGCCATAATGCACATTAATACATGTGCATGGATGCACCACAACAGAAAGCCAAAGTGTGAATGTGTCCTACCTAAAAGCCCCATTTTCTACCCCAATTCACAGTCATGTGACAGGCTGGGCCTCAGGTCTTTTATCTTCTGGTCTGTACTGTGCGAGGTCCTTCATGTGATGCTCATGGATGCTACCTGCTGACTACCAAGCCATTGGAGGGGTTTCTCACAAGGTCCCAAGTAATTCAGCTACATTGTTATTACACCACAACACTAAGGGCCCCAACAAGACCGGCTGGTGAGCCAAGACAGCTGTAGCGAATCTCCAATTTCCTATGTGAAGAGCCTGTGCTAGACTATTGACTCTACCTGGAGTAGTCACAGCTTCAAGCAAGTTGAGGTACATTTCAAATGAATAAAGAATCATTTATGGAAAAGAAAGACATTGCAAGTAAGTATTTAAAATGCTGGATTTTTCTGTGCTTTTAACCGCCTTTTTTAAGTTGATGACAGGGTCTCTTTTATATACTAAATTTATTAAACAGTCTGATACATCAACACAATGTACAAAAGAAAAAGAATATAGACCAGCCATTCTCACCCAAGATTCTGTGGAACTCTAGGGTGCCTCAAGAGGTTGGTGGGGCTCTTTGAGCTGTTGCTGATTGACCTCCCATCTGATGGTGCCTGCACAGTTTCATGGCCAACACAACTTGGCAAAGCCAACAGCCATTCTCAACCAAGATTCTTTGGAACCTTAGGGTCCTCCAGAGGTTTGTAGAGGTTCCTTGAGCTGTGGCTGATTGACTTCCTACCTAATGGTGCCTTCAAAATTTCAGGGCCAGCGGCACTTAGCAAAGCCGGCAGCCATTCTCAACCAAGATTCTTTGGAACCCTAGGGTCCTCTAGAGGTTGGTACAGGTTCCCTGAGCTGTGGCCGATTGACTTTCCACCTAATGGTGCCTTCAAAATTTCAGGGCCAGCGGCACTTAGCAAAGCCAGCAGCCATTCTCAACCAAGATTCTTTGGAACCCTAGGGTCCTCTAGAGGTTGGTACAGGTTCCCTGAGCTGTGGCCGATTGACTTCCCACCTAATGGTGCCTTCAAAATTTCAGGGCCAGCGCCACTTAGCAAACCCAGCAGCCATTCTCAACCAAGATTCTTTGGAACCATAGGGTTCTTCAAGAGGTTGGTAGAGGTTTCTTGAGCTGTGGCTCACTGACTTCCCATCGGATGGTGCCTGCATAGTTTCAGGGCCAAACGCTATTTGGAAAAGCCAGCAGCCATTCTTAAATAAGATTCTTTGAACCCTAGGGTTCCTTAAGAGGTTGGTAGAGATACTTCGAGCTGTGGCTGATTGACCTTCCATTGGATGGTGCCTGCATAGTTTCAGGGCAAACGCCAATTGGCAAAGCCAGCAGCATGACACCAGAGATCTATTAAGCTATGTGTACAGATGACATTCTGAACACAACTGTAAGGGTTTTCTTCTTCATTCCGGCTACAAAAGAATTGAGAAAGGTTGGTATAGACCAGCAATGGGCAAACTACGGCCCGGCGGACCTTTTAATCCGGCCCGCGGAGCTAGGCTCCCGCAAGGCCAGTGGTCGGCAAGCCGCGGCTCTTTACAAATTTAGATGCGGCTCTCCTGTGTGCCGGGCGCCCGCTCCCCTCCCTCCTCTCCCTCCTCTCCCCCCTCTCCCTCCTCTCCTCCTCTCCCCTCCTCTCGGACGTCAGGACTCTGCAGCTGTCAGGATGTAGGCGGGGCAGCCAGGATGTAGGCGGGGCAGCGTGACGAACTCCTCTCACAGTCCTCCCTGAAGACCAGAACGGCGCGGGGGAATACGAGAGGAACGCGCGGACCAAAGGTAAGTGAATTGACACGGGGGGGGGACTTACTATATGGGGGATGAATTACTATATGGGGGACTTACTATATGGGGAATGAATTACTATATGGAGGACTTACTATATGGGGAATGAATTACTATATGGGGGACTTACTATATGGGGAATGAATTACTATATGGAGGACTTACTATATGGGGAATGAATTACTATATGGAGGACTTACTATATGGGGAATGAATTACTATATGGGGGACTTACTATATGGGGAATGAATTACTATATGGAGGACTTACTATATGGGGAATGAATTACTATATGGGGGACTTACTATATGGGGAATGAATTACTATATGGAGGATGAATTAATATGGGGGATGAATTACTATGTGGGGGATGAATTACTATGTGGGGGGATGAATTACTATGTGGGGGATGAATTACTATGGGGGATGAATTACTATATGGGGGATGAATTACTATGGGGGATGAATTACTATAGGGGGGATGAATTACTATGGGGGACGAATTACTATATGGGGACGAATTACTATATGGGGGACGAATTACTATATGGGGGATGAATTACTATATGGGGGATGAATTACTATATGGGGGATGAATT